TGTTTGCATATTAGCTCTCTCTCTCTGTGTGTGTGTCTCTCTCTCTCTCTCTCTCTCTCTCTCTCTCTCTCTCTCTCTCTCTCTCTCTCTCTCTCTCTCTCTCTCTCTCTCTGTCTGTAACACATGCACACACACAGACGCACACACATCAACGCTCTTCTTGTGGTAAGTGGGACGAGAGAGTGGAATCACTCCATTTGTCGTCCCACACAAAGCTGCTTGTTCAGTCATTATCTGTGAGAGCCTCTTCTCTCCTCTACAGGCAAGATGACCGGGGCACAGCTAAAATAGCCACTTCTCCCTCATGTCACTCCTCTCTCTCCCTTGCTCCACCACTCTCCCCCTCCTCTTTTATAAACAAAGCGCAGCTATTTGTTTTAGCCACTAAAATCGGAAATAAATGGGACATTTGCAAACCAAATGAGGCTTATATATGGCAGGTTCTTGTGCCCCATCCAAAGCAGAGGCTAATTGTGTGCTTCTCCACTCTAAACAAATGACTTGGGGAGAGAAAGACTTTTGAAGTGAATGAGGGGATGGGCTATTTGTTAAGGAAATCAGGAGGCCACTGAGCTCATGTACAATTACCTATTTGCGTGGTGACTGTTGCTGTCTGATCACTAAAGCAGAACACAAAGTATCACTAAGAACATTGTATCTGTCCGATCAGATTTGAGGTGTGTTGCCAGACAGTGTGGACAGTGACACACATGTTACATACCAAGGCCTTCATTCTCTTACTAATTTCAGCCATAAATGTTACGTTTTGTATTAGTGTGAATTAGCTAAATGTGCTGCCTACCTGGCCTTAGGTGAAGTCTCTTACTACAGAATGTCGCTACTCGTTGAATGAAGGTCCTTTATGCAGTATGAAGTTGGTTTTATTACTTGGTAAGAAATAATAAACCCTCCACAACTCTTAAATAGGAAAACCAACCTTCCCATTGAGTACACTGATCAAGGTAATATGCCAAAACCTACATTTCTACACTACCTTTTCACTTTTTAATAGCAAAACATCTGAGCACTTTTCATATTGTCTATGTATCTGTGCAGTTTAACTTTCTCTTACAAGTAAATGGTGCAGCTAGTGAAGAGTCTCAGAATATCTTGTTTCGACGGGCCGCTTGGACGTGAGTAGAGGACTGATGGTGAGGAACAGATGTTACAGGTGGATGCAGATGATGTAAATAAGATGAACTAAACTAGTACCCAGATGTGAAACTGCGCTGCTGACGCTCCCCTGTGGTGGTGAGGAGGAGACCGTCTTTATTGTTGTTCACTGTGCCAGAGCATTGTTTAGAGAACTGAAAAGCATTGCATTCAAATTGTTAATGATTACCTCGTTTTAGTTGTAACAAAGGCATTGTCTCAGGTTCTGCTTCGGTTTTCATTTACACTCTATGGTGGAGAAGTTATTTAGCTTCTGTTTAAGTCGGAACAAGAACATCAATTTAAAGATTTTCCAAATGCATCTGCAACTACTGAGGTTAGAAAATGTATTTGGAACCATGACAAGATGAGGGAAAAGGAAACCCAAGAATAAATGATTTGGCGCAGCACAGGATATTGCAGGATTTGGGATAATTAAGGATACTGTGCATCACATACAGAGAAAAGACTAAGAAAATTATAAATATATCCATGACGCAGATTACTGTGCAGACTGTTGGTCCAGGGACTGTTCTCCATGGACTGTCTCCTTGTTCCACGTTTAGGATACGGAAATGTGAAAAATGCATATAAGTCTGACAATTTCTCAAACATTTGGCCTGTGGAGTCTATAGCCAAAGGTTCTTACTTTCATTGAAATCCACCATAAATACAAACATACCTAAGAATGTGTGAATGGGCGATTAAATATTATCTTTAACTGAAGTAACAACGTGTCAAACGAGAGATGTTGAAATAATTGCTGCTGTGTTGTTGTTTGAATTGTGAATAACCAGCATGGCTACCACAGCATTCAGCAGTAGCCAGCAAAATATAAATCATATTCTGGACTTTTTAACACTTTTTTGTTACTAGATAATTCCATATGTGTTCTTTTATAGTTTTGATGTCTTCAGTATACATCTACAATGTAGAAAACATTCAAATAAATAAAATACTTTTGACTGGTAGTGTATATCTACTCAAAAACATATTCTTTGTCTCATTACCATGATATGAGAATCATATTTATAACAGAAAAAGGTGAACATATGACATGCTCCCAAAATGAGTGAAGGCTGTGCTTGTTATTCTGTTTAATTTATAAAAGGTACACATTCAGGAACTACGTCAGATTATGTAGACCATAATTCAAATGAATTAAAGTATTTCTGTTTATGTCCAGTATAGGCTGTGTGATAAGACAATGTGATTAGTTCTGAATGATTAAGGAGGAATGGTAACAGAGGGGGATGGTATAGATAAGAGTGAACAAACACAGAGAAGGACAAAATGAGATCAAACACACACACACACACACACACACACACACACACACACACACACACACACACACACACACACACACACACACACACACACACACACACACACACACACACACACACACACACACACACACACTTGTACGTGATCTGTGATTAACAGTACCACCCACCGAATGACACCTGTGTTTTTGTATGTGTGTGTGTGTGTGTGTGTGTGTGTGTGTGTGTGTGTGTGTGTGTGTCTGTTCGTGAGAGCTGGGAAAAAGGTCATGGCCGGTCACAGTCAGGAGTCTCTCATATGGACTGGATCAGCCGATGCAGAGGTTAGAGGTCAGAGGTCAGGGGTCGGGGGTTGAGCTCTCTAAGCCAATCACAGGTCAGCGCGGGGCTGAGGGGTTTTCAAATGTGAAGTGAGCGAGCGGTACTTAGACGTGATAAGAGGAGCACTTTTTGAGGTTTCATACATTTTATTCCTCTTGTTAAAGGTGTTTTTTTCGGGGGGATATCTGCAAGGGAAGAGGGGGCATAGTGTACGACACCCTAAGTCAATCTCATAATTTGTGATATTAGGACATATAAATGAATTGGACTTGACTCGACAGTTCTGTGTATAGAGTTTATGTATAATGAACTACCATCTGGCTTATGGTTAACTCTGCTCTCTTGTGATATCGGCAAACTTACTTTCATTATTATTGCAATAATTGTAATACTGTAAAACGCTATCCCTGGATATTTACAGTATGTGTTTAATTAATGTGTCGACTCCCAAATAATTGTTGGTATTTACATCGGCTTGGCTGGTAATTGTGATGTCACCTCCTTATTAGTTATACTTTCTAGACAAACATCAACATAAGCGTCTTGATGCCGCCTGAAGAAGAGCTCACAGCTTGAAAGGGGCTACAATCCAAAGTAGGTGCTTTTCCAAAACCTTCTGTGGCTTAGTGCCATTATATTCATGCACACGTGTGATGTTCTTGGATGCCAACATGCCATTATTTACCATTACATTATAACTGCAAGTTGTTTTTCTTTTGCTTGAAATGTAATTTTCAATTAGACAAATGCAGCATTCATTGACATCAACTTGTACCAGGACCTCCCAATTTACTATGAAAATATTGGGTTATGGGTTTATCCCTGTGAGCTATCACCCTACAGACTGAAGGTGAAAACTGCAACAACAATCCAGCAACAAATGAGCAGCATGAATACATTTATTTTCTTAGAAAGATGTAAAACAAAGTGAGCCCTACGAGATTAATGTGCACACTATAGGATAGTATTACAAAGACAGAAAGAAGAGGAAAAGAGAGAGAACTGTGAGTTGATTTTCCTTGACACTTGTTAGGAAGGTTCACAGCTACTAAAGACATAAAGTATTTTGTGTGTGTGTTTATGTGTGGGTGTGTGTGTTGTGTGCGTGTGTGTGTGTGTGAGAGGGAATGATTTGATTGTGTATCGGCGTGCATGTGCGTGGGCACGTGTACATGCACGAGCACATCTTCAATCCCGCTCCTCCTGAGCCCACGTTACTTTGATTGACAGGTGAGACTTGCCTTTACACACCACACTGCCCGCCCTGCGCGCCTCCGGAACGGCAGCTCCTTGCTAAATCCTGATTGGTCAGAATATGCGTTGCTCAACCAGGTCAACAGACTCGGGGTACTTTACAGAGCGGCTATTGGTCAGTTCTGTAATCTACATCACTATCCCCACGTGGAGCGGCGTCTCTGATTGGTCCAGATCCGTTTTGTGGGCGGGTCTACAGTTTCGGTTAGCTGGGGAGCGTGAAACCGCGTGAGAAAGTTGCCATTGAGGTAAAGCAGAGCTAGACGGTGGACTGCTGCCGCCGCTGTGAGAGTAGTTGTTATTAAAACTAACTACATCTTCCTCTTTTTTGTGAAACCTATTTTGGACGCATCTAAACTGAGTGGGGAAGTGAATATTTCTGTTTTTGTTGACTGTTCAACCGCCAACGAGCGACCGCCGCGAGTCAAGTGGGAACTCTTCACTGCAATTAACTTGTGAGGATTTGTTTCTGATGCTCTGCAGGAGAGCCGGGAGTTTGCGGCTGTCTGTGGAGGGGCTACTGGCTTGACTTTCTCCGTATTTGTTTATTTGTCTCGCTGTACTCGGAATACCCCGGATCCTACACACAACAAACGCTGAAGGAGTGACTGGGGTGGCTCCAGCCCTATCATTTCTCACCTGGTTCATTCCCTCCTCCCCCTCCCTTTAGCTGCCTCCAGCTAATGAGCCGTTTCCCGTGTTTTTCCGGTTGATTTACGACCACACTGCCGGTGGAGCAGAGGAGAAACAGCGACCGAAACACAGCGAGGAGCAGGGATTCACATTAAACGCTCCGTGAACTCGCAGGGAGCGGTGGGGGCTGTCGGTTTTGTTTGAAATTAACGACACTTGGTCCCGATAATAGCGGCGGATGGATTCGTCTCCTTGATCCGGAGCCCCCCATATCCTCACTGTGCCCTAATTTGATCCCTCGAAGAAGCGGGGTTTAAAGAAGGAAACCGTTGCATCCTCCAGGAGATAACGATGTTTCCCCAGGGGCGACACCCGGTAAGACCCTTCCTGCTTTCACAGTTGTTCACCTGGCTGTAACCGGCGGTGCACAGCCAGGGAGATATCATTACCTCTTTGTTGTCTTACTTTTAACTGCCTACGGGCTAAGCACATGCTTACATCAGGCTCTTTATTCTTGTTAATTGGGCTGTGTATCTGCCCCTTGAAGCAGCATGGGATTGATAGTAGTGTTTGTTTAATAACTGCTATCATTAAAAGCTGTTGACTTTGACACTACATGTGAGCCTGGAGAGGATCAAATGAACATTGTAGGCCACATAATGATGCAATATGATAATAATAATCCTGTGTGTGTGTGTGTATGTCAGACGCCCCACCAGGCTCCAGGCCAGCCCTTCAAGTTCACCATCCCAGAATCACTGGACCGCATCAAGGAGGAGTTCCAGTTTCTTCAGGCACAGTACCACAGGTGGGTAGAACAAACACACACATTCACAGTTAAGGCTACTCTGTCTTTATGGTCAACATTATGGCTTTTTTTTCTTTCTCGTCTACCCTATAACATTAAACCTCACCCTAACCACAGCCACCCCCTTACCATAATGAACAAAACCCCAGCTTTGGCCTCATACTAACCCATAAACCTGGATTACACACAAAAGTGCACACAAATGCAGCAGACCCAGGCATCAGTGTTAGCGCTTACACTGCGGTAGGTCTAAGTCTTGGTGATGGGTGAGAGCCAGAGGGTGGCGTGTGGGCTCAGCGTTTCATAAATCACTCCTTATTTTCCTCTATGTGTATAAGGAAAAGACTGCCTGAGCATGGGTGCAGTTTTCCTCTGCTTGATGTGTGTGTACTACTTTAAATATTTCTGTGTTATCGTGGTGGGGTTGGCCGCAACAGTTGTATGCTATTGACCTATAAACAGGCGGTTTTTTCACATCCTGATTTACACATACACAGATCATTGTTCAACCAAACAGCCAACAGATACTACTACTTTTCATAACAAGACAGGAAGAACCACCTTCTCCGTTTCACTTCCTACCCCGTGCCCTGCTTTGTTTTTTTGCATTTGTGAGTTCTTTTTTCAGTGAGAAAATGAATCTGATAAACTGTATTCAAAGTTGTATGCTTTAACATTGCTAGTTATCAGTTGAAAGATTCACATCCCTTACTGTTTGTTCTTCTTTTGAGTAAACGTTTCAGAAAAATGATACATGCTGATATTCATTTATTAGCAATAAAGCTTGTTTGTACAGAAACATCTAAATTGAACAACTAAATAACCACCCACAAAGGCTGATAATTATACATGTATCTATACTGTATATATATTCTCAATTTGGGAAAGTGAGGTGCTGGTTTACGCTGGCGGGCCTTTGTTGAATTGGATAAAATTGGCTTTACTTAAAAAGTTCTCAGTTTTTCTCAAAGTAAATGTTGTATTATTGTTGTTTCAGTCTCAAGATGGAGTGTGAGAAGCTGGCCAGTGAGAAGACGGAGATGCAGAGACACTATGTCATGGTGAGATAATTCGTCTTTGAGGGGGGGATACTGTGTCCCAAGAAACTCATTTTGGACTTCCATAACTTCCTAACTCTAAACCTATTACCTAGATAATATTGTATAATTGTCTGAACAAATGGAACATGCATATTACAAAAGAAAAACACACACCAACAAGAATGTTTAAAAAGGACTTTTAGAGTGCATGATTGGACTGTTCTACAACTTTGCAATTTATTAGGGAGATTTTTTATCTTCATTAAATTAAGCTCCAATATTTCAGCAAATGTAACAATTCACTAGGCTGACAAGATAAATATCTGAACGTGTCCCTTCTGTCTTATGTAAAAGTTTACTTTGACAGCCATTTAACCTGAAACAAATAAGGCTTAGTGTGGGGTAAAAGCCTGTCTGACACAGAAACAAACAAAAAGTATATAAGACAGCAGTTTGCCAACATTTCTATCTACTTTGCTTTTCTAAACACATTTAATTCAGATGCAGGGTCCTTTTTTAAAAGCATTTTGATTGCTCTTTGAGAATGAGAAGATCAGCGTGCCTCTGTGGTTCCAAGGACGCACAAATTGTCTCAGTTGCTTAGGCTTTTAATTTGAAAGGTTCAGAGTTCCTTTCACTAACTTGACTCTCTTTCCTCCCCAGTACTATGAGATGTCTTATGGCCTCAACATTGAAATGCACAAACAGGTATGGATGCTTATCTGTTTGCCTCTTGTCTACTCTCTGATTCTTCCTGTTTGTCTTTCTTCTCTCTCTCCTTCCCTCCCTCTCTCTCTGATGGCAGGGTTTTGATGTATTTGGTGTGTGTGCCTGTTGACGTGTCCTTGTGTGTGCACAAATGCATTTTTTGCGTTCATTCGTTTCTGTCTGTGTGTGTGTGTTTTACTGTATGCCCGGGTGTGTGTGTGTGGATGTGTGTTTATTCTTGATCGATGGGGCTCTGTCTCCATTTCCCCAGTTAGGGCCGGCCGGCTGAGCCCCGAGGCAGGATGAATGGCTCTGTAGATTGATTGGTGCTGTCTAGGGGAGCGGCCTGCTTTATTACATTAGAGGGGCAGGGCTGGGGAGGGCAGAGGAATCGATCATGGTGAAGCCGGCAGAGGAGAGACAGTGGAGCTAAAACACACCAACACACACTTTAGTAGGGCAGATGCACAAGTGTGCAAACACAAAATACAAGAAGGACCCTTACCTGTTGTAATCTAAGGCAAGGACATTTATGTTCATCCAAAAGTAATGTGTGCAAGCACGTGAGGACAGTGGCAATTTGACACATCCAGTCCTGTACACACAAACACAGGAAGTCAAACATGTTTATGCATGAGCACATACATACACAGCCTCATTGAAAGGCAAACATCTTTCACGATTAAGTGTCTAGACAAATGGATGATGTGCAAAATCTCTCACCCTCCTCCTCATGCAAACAGACACACATTTTCCCACTGTAGAGGTGCAGGGCTCAGAGCGTTTACCAGTAATTACCACAGCTATCGACCAGTCCGACCAGAGGAAATTGGAGGTGGATTGGCCTGGTTGCTTCACAGAGGAGTGGGGATGCTTCTCTGACTTTCTCACACTCCCCCCCCCCCCATTAGTTTTCCCCTCATGTGCTCCATCTACTCTTGTGTTTCTCTCCCATCTTTATAACCCAAGTTCTCCCTTTCTTTTTGCCTTACTTGTCTCCTCTTCATTGTACTACACCCCCACCCTTGATTTTTTTTTTTTTTCTTGGCTCCTTTTTGGTTTTATGTCCATGTGAAGCTACTGTTCTTTCATTGTGAGGGAACACACACACACACACACACACACACACACACACACACACACACACACACACACACACACACACACACACACACTAAAGCTCCAGGGGAGGTCATTAGCTTGGGGCTGCAGTTGTCAGAGCAACAAGCTTCTGTGGGTGGGGGGGTACGGAGGATACAGAACAACCCACCTCCTGCTGACGAGGTGTGTGTGGCAGTCATGCTCCAATTATATGTGTAATGGCAACCCTTTTCTCTGTTGTCACATGGTGTGTGCACACTTGCATCTTCTCTCTGAAACTTCCATTTTTGTTTACCCACTCTGACAACTATATGTGTGGATTGTGCAATATAGCATTTCTCCAATATTTTAATTCAGTTACTGATAAGAGCAGTGTGTTAGGGGGTGGAGAGTTTTGTTGTGACTTGTCATGATCACTTGGTGATTGCAGCTTTGGATATTTACGGCCTTATTTGTTTGATCCTTGTTAGTTTTGTCAGTTAGATTAGCCGAGCTGCCCTGATAGTAGTTGGTCAGACTATTCTCAGACGACCTAATGGTGAGCCATTATACAAGGCTAATTATAGGCTTACAACCTAGGATTCTGAGAATGGACTTGCAGGTATTAGGCGCTTTCACACCGGAGAACTTTTCCCGGGAATAGTTCCGATAGTTCTTGGGATTTTGTGTTCACACCAAAAATATCTGGAACTAGAACTTTTTTTTGCGAGTCTTTTCACCCCTTTTTAGTCCCTGCTAGAGAGCAGGGACTTTCCTGGGGAGAAAAAAGTTCCAATTTCTGATTGGCTGGGCGAATTGCAAACCACGCCCCGTAAAACTCTGAAAAGTTTTTTGTGAAGCCGCCATTTTATTTGCTCGAATTAGCATTATTAGCATTAGCCCCGCGCACCAACGGAGAGAGAATAACTTATGGCAACACAAAAGAAAACATGGGAGCGGTGGAGTGATGAGGAGGTGTAGGCGCTTCTGGTGATTTACTCGGAAGGCTTCAGTAGAAGCTGCTGGGAGTCCCAGCAGCTTTTACTGAAGCCAGTCCCCAACTCCGGGGACTTCCGGCCGGGGACTTCGGGTGGCAGTATACACCGTGAAGTTGTTTGCGGCCTGCCAGTAAACCCAAAGCAGAAGAAGAAGTGACGTCAGCGGCTCCCTCTGGGACATATTGTGAAATGCGCCTATAGTCTGCCTGAAATAGCTCCTTAGTAAGAGCTTTGTAGGCATCTAATAAGTTGGATATTATGTGATTGAGTTACAGTGAAGTTGATAGGTATGCGTCCTGCGTCTCCACTAGGGATGTGCATCTCCATCACTGAGGCCGATGCGATGCGCATCTCGATACGTTGCCAATGATACGATACATTAACATTTGAAGCACCGGGCGATGCAATACATACGATTCACCCCTGTTGCGATACAGTTCGATACGATTTGATTCAACGTTATGCGATTCGGGGCAATACGGTGCGATTCAACACAATGCAAAATAATGATACAATTCAATATGGTACAACAGAGGATTTCGTTTTATTCCTTAAATTCAGTATATCATAAATTAACAAAAAAGTGCTTCACATATTTGGTTCTCTCTACTAGTACTGCGCATTATGCTGTTTCTTTTTTACCTTAAAAAAAAACCCCACTTGGACCTTTCACAAACTGGCCTTTTCACAAGTCCTTTGTAGTAGTGTTCCAGAGTACAGTGCAATTTTACAACACCTCACAATTAAACAATTTAAGGATGCATTGCCCAGGATTAATAATGTGCAAATAACAACTACCATAGTGCCAGCCTGATGTGCTTAACACTCATTCATAGGCTAACATCACTCTCTCTGACATAACACCTCACTGAGTGATTGAACTCGTATGTCTTACTTTCAGGTTTCTCTTTTCAGCCGCAGATCCCATGTCGCCTCTTTATGTGTGTCGCTAAGTTCCTCGTACTACTTGTGTACTTTAAAGCGGCACGGCATCGTTTACAATTTGCGAGCGATTTTTCAAGTCTTTCTTGAAAAATTCGAAGTGTTGCCAAACGTTTGATTTTTAGGTATTTTTCGGTGCACTGTGTTTCTCTTTCTCCTCGACTTCCATGTTTGTTGATAACTGAGACTTTCGGCCTCCGTAGTGGCGAAGCAAAGATCAAAGATCGTCTCTGCTGAGTGCATACAGGATGAGAGGATATTATATGAATGAATCGTTTTTTTTACCGATGCAAAGACGCTACAATCGATGCATCGTGAGTTCAACCCAAACTGTAGCCGATGTGCACTCTTTCAACCGGTGCACTCGCATTTTGAACGTTTAAGCCGGTGCACCGATGTGAATCTTAACATCCCTAGTCTCCACGCATTAAAAGCACTAGGACGGGGTACACTCACAATCCATGCCTCCAGCAGACGCCTCCATCTGATTATCAGAGGCTCCAGAATCTATTCAGAAGTGTGTGTATATGAGACACTGAACATTTAATAACTTGAGCAATATCTTTTTTTCTATGCAACATTTGTCAACAACTTATTTGCTCCGAGTGCATTAATCTTTGTGGCTCTCTCACACACTTTTTACGGACACACATTATGCTACAAACCGCTGATAAAAGCTTTGGAATGAATTCTAAGGAATGGATTATCCCGTACTTAATTATGTTGAGAGAAACTTAATTTCCTTGGTGCAACGTAGTTTTGTCCTTTTTTATTTTATCACCAGACTTTAAAGGACAGCTTCTGACGGTCTGCTGTCTTTATCAAGTGACATGTTTGTGGTCACATTTCACATAATGTATTCAACACCACTTGAGTTAGTTAGTAGGTTTCTACTGGGCTGAAAGTACTTTGTTAAGGTCACTCCTTCTGTAGTAACGGGTACATAGACTTACAAAGACAGCACTACGTAGAGATTTGCACTGAGAACTATGTCAGGTAGCATCACATTGATGGTGCACAGACTAGTTGGCCAAAACAACAAAATGCTAAGATCAGAACTGACTCTTGTCACCCACACCCTGTTGTGGGGTTATGTGTATAGAACGAGCACTCTCGAACAAGTGTGCAGTTATTCATATATATCTCTTTACATTGTGCGGATAGTACAATTCCTAGTGTTTTAACCCAGATGTGTGAATGAGTCTTTTAACTTTTCAGATGATCAATTCATTTCTAGACATGTTCTATTTTATCTCCTATTCTCTTTGATTCTGGATAAAGAGTCAATTATTAATCGTGTTTAGTCTTCATAACAAGAAGAGTATTTTTTCTTCTTGCTTTACTCAGTTTTACTTGGCAACATTTTTAACCAACCTGTTACATTATTATAATATCCTTTTTTGGTTACTATAGGTTTAGGTTGAAGCAGTTACTTGTTTATTTAGATACAAATAATCTGAATTGGCTAGTACTTTATTTAGCTCTTCCAAGTACATAATTGGCTGAACTGTGGCGGGGTCAGTTGTTTGCTGAGCTGATAGATGTGTGTGTGTGAGTGACAAGGAGCTCCAATGAAAGTAATTATGCTACTGCAAAAGAGGGCGTCACCACAATGTTAGATTTTCAGAAATGATTGAACCCATCATTCATCAGAAAATGGCCTTAATGACCTTTTCATGACAAAGGGATTGCAGGAAGGCAAGAAGAAAATTGACATGATATTAGTAAAACTTTGAAAATGGAGACCTAGTTAAGCAAGTAGGGAACTGGAACAGTGTATTCATCGGAAGTCACTTTGAAAGAGGAAGTTCTTTAAATCATTACTGTAAAAGGGGGAAACTTGCCATAGTAGTCAGTTATTTCTAAACCAGGTGAAGTAACGGTTGGGTCTGATGTTCGCTGTGGGATTCTAAATATCTTTATGATGACTTTGAGACGTTATTTTCATATGATTTTACATGACGGCAACAAACCCCTCTGTAGCTTTCACATCCAGCGAGTGTGTCAATGTATCTATTGATGTGAGATGTGTGTGTGTGTGTCCGAAGAGCCATTACTACATTTCATAGCTTCTCCAATTCCCTCTTCACCCTGGCCTCCTTCGTATCAATTTGATTGGGTGATGTGTAATATGACTCCCCTTATCTGATTTGATGCCACTGTGGGGGTATCTGGTTTCAGACAATTGTTGCCACCTCCGGGGGGTTGGGGGGGCAGGCGGATGTGTTGGCATGGATACTGGGGGAGAGCAAATTAAGTTAGTCGCTGATGAGATTATGTCGAAGTGCTGATGGGAAGAGGCACAAGAGCACAGAGGATAGAGAGAGAAAAATAAAAACAACAGGCAAGAGAAACTTGAGCTCCCACTGATGATTAGAGGGAAAAATCGTGTGTGTGTGTGGGGCTTGATGTGTAGGTGGCAGTCTCCAGTGTGTTTGTGTGTGTGCTTGTATTACTTTATTGGTGTTAGTGAACAGCTGTCTTTCCCAATTAATGTAATTATGTTATTAACAATTAAGTCTCTATTTGTTTCCGTGTGTCTCTCCCGACATCAGACTGAGATTGCCAAGAGACTAAACACCATCTGTGCACAAGTCATTCCCTTCCTCTCACAGGAGGTAAGTACGTGTGACTTTGAGCCACAGACTGTTTTTTTAATGCTATTTATACACTTGTTGTTTCTACTAGATCTTCTGATATACAAACTTTTACATTTGGTCTTCATGAACATTGTTTGTTTTCCCTAGCATCAACAGCAGGTGGTCCAAGCTGTGGAGCGAGCCAAACAAGTGACCATGGCAGAGCTCAATGCTGTCATCGGGGTACGTGGACTGCCAGGCCTTCCACCTACAGTGTGTATACCTTTTACTTACTCTTTACTTAAAGACACAATGAGTAGATTTGTCGTTTGCGGTTTGTTAAGCCAACATTTAGAGTTGTAGTTTAGTTGGCCTGATTTAACCTGAAACATTCAAAATCCCTACTAAAACGTAAATATTGCACTTGTGTGGTACTTAACTAACATTGACTTTACGTCGTAGGCATATGGCTGACATTTAAAAGGAAATTCAGTTATTTAAATTCCTCATTCACTAAACCAATCTCAAGGTCATGGGCCTATACTGAATACAGGACCAATGAAAGGGTTGGTAGGAAAATGAAACTCCAAGGATGCAGATAGTTTCTCTTTTTATGGACTAAGGGTCTGGAAAATAAAACTGATTGATTGATAGAACTGATGTTTTTCTTGATGAACGAGCAGAGTACAGAGGATATTAATCAGTGGGTTAACTGTGATGAGATGTGTTTATTGAAAAGCTGTCCTCAGCCTTTGATGAATCAAGCAGCATGGCAAGCTATTCAGGCTCGAGCTGTGAAGGTATTGGAGTGCGAGAAAAAGTTACAAAAACATGAACTTCTTACTCCGCCTTGGCGATGATGCCTAGGTTAAAAGTGAGGCAGAGAGGAGCTGTTGGTGGTATCTTTTTGGGTGGGGGCTAGCTCAGAATACTTTATAGCAGCCATAGGGGATTGACTGGCGGGAAGGTGAGGCCAGGGGGTTGAGCTGAAGGGGAATGTGGGAAAAGGGGGGGTGGACGTGGTGGGGTTCCTCATAGCTTAGCAAATATTGGGCAGTGGGTTTGAAGAGTTAAATGTGAGGTGGGCTTTATAGTTGGCTTGGACTGATGGGGGTCTATGTGTGTGATGGGGGAGATGAATTTGGCAGTTGCTGTTTGAGTCTTAATTGCAGGATTTCAGTGTTTGTAAAAGGGGGGGGTCACGGCGTTGCCCTTACACTCCCTTCTTCACCCACTCCTCCCATCTCCCACGCCAGCCTGTCATTCACCCCGTTTGTGAGTTAAATGAGTGTAATGAAGCGTGTTGCCCCTACCTCTGCATACACACGCACACACAACACATGCATGCACACGCACCAGCTCACACTAACATCCCATGACAAACCGGGTTCCCCTGGCCTCCACCAATACTTCCCCTCCATTTACTCCCATCGGGGGTCCTGTTTGTGTATCCATGTGTGTGTGTTTTTGCATCTGTTGGTGTGTGCGTCTGGGGGAAGCAGAGCGTGCATTTCTGTTATCCCCAGAAAACAACAGGCAGGGGTAGGATGGTTGAGTGAGGGTGTGTGTGCCTGCCTTGTTTATCTAGACTCTGTGTATGCATGTTAGTGAGACCGAGTGTGACGTGCGGGTGTGTTTATGTTTGATTGTTTGGCAAGCGAGCCAACTTTGGAAATTGTGTGTCTGTTATGTGTGTGTGTGTGTGTGTACAGGCAGGCATGGGGGTTGAGGCTAAAAGACTGTTTCGTTGTTTTGCTTTCATTCATCGGGGCAGGACGCAAAGAGTGAAGGATGGATAGAGAGAAAAAGAGAAGGCGGGGGCTCACGAGAGGAGGAGTGGGTTAGTCAATTAGGTGAGATAAAAGTCGGTTTGACCTTCAGCACTCCTTCCATCCCTGCTGAGTTGCCTCCTGTGCCCCCCTTTTCCTCCACCTCCTCTCCTTCCTCCTCCCTTCCCCGTGGCGAATCAGTGAGCTTGGATTCCCGCGGCTACTGTCTGAGGAGGCAATAATGATGTTTTGGAACACAAAGGCATTTCACGCTCAGACGAGCGCCTGATTTGGTGTGAAAGAGAGAGCAGGGCTGCCAGCCAAACTCTCTCTCTGACCCTCTTCTCTCTTTCTCCTCTCCTCTCTCTCCTCAGCCGCCTCACTCCCTCAGCAGACCTGACAGTGCAGGCAGCAGCTGGGGCTCTCAGCTCGCACCCCCCTTGCCTTCCACTTCTCCGTCATTCCTCCTTTTCCTCCCCGTCTCCCTCCCCCCTGCTTCTCCCACCACATCCTCAGGCTCTGGGCTGTGATCCCAGCTGTCAGTATTGTTCAGTGTTTGACCCCAGAGGGAGGGGGGTGTGTGTGTGTGTGTCGGTGTGCGTTTCGGTGTGTGTGGGGGGAGAATATGTGTTCACCAACTTGTATACTGCAGCAGCTTGTTGAGGTGGTTTGAACCCAGACACTGAAGGAACAGTCCCATCTGTTGAAGACTTTAATAGGGTCATAAATCTCTATTAATTAGATACAGAGTGCTATTGATTCTTTACCTATTGGCGGCTCAGTGTCATCCACTGACATTTGAGATTTTTGGTGTCGGGCGTCAAAGTTACTAAGGCTGGAGCCACACGAGGACGATAACGCAAACGGACCGAAATCGATATCAAAGTCTTCCGTCCACACGCAATAGGCACCAGAAACGTGTCCGTTCACACAAGACTGCTCGAAAGCGCTGGAGACGCTGTAGTACATATGCCGGGCCTGTAAGTGGCGCTGTACTCCTGCCACAAAATCAGCGAGCACGGAGCCGTTTGCCCCCCCCCCCAGAGCGCTTCGTTCGCAGATCTAACCACCTTGGGACCCGTTATCGTTTTATGCGTTTCCATGTCGGCCTCGTGTGGCCGAACCGTCTATAATGATAGAGAACTGTAGCGGATATGACCGTTATCGTCCTCGTGTGGCTTGGGCCTAAGGCAGCTACAGTACAACATTTTTAAGCCTTGTTCATTCCGTGAACATACAATTCTCAAACCCGGCCCAAATCTTTACTCTTGGAGGCTGAAATCCATCATGAGGTCAAGTCTTTGTATTAAACATGAAAAGAGCAAGCAAAGCATGTGCGTGCAAGGTGGCATCTATTAAAAATGTGCACATGTTTTTGGCTATTTCCAGTGAGCTCATCTAATATTTTTAAGTCTTGAAAATAAACTGTACTGCTTCATTTTTGTGGTAAGCCTTTTTAGTTTAGATGTATGGTACATTTCCCCGCTGTTGGAAGAATAAAGAGATTCTGATATTTCAAGTTAAGCTTAGAACACCAAGAAAGATCAAACAGTAAGAACGGAAGAAAGGAAGAAAATAAATTCTGTGTCGACAAACACTTGATTTGTTCAACTAGTCAATTAGTACATTGAATCCACACTTGTGACACTTAGTTTCTTACACAAGAATTATACAAAAGCACCACTTTAATTCTAAGTGAATTTACGTAAACTTGGGCAAACCTACTCAACTGTAACTGAAACTTTTCTTCCTCTAACCACACATTTCTTTCTCCTCTTTTCTCCCTGTGTCTAAGCAGCAACACCTATCCCAACACCACGGTGGTGCCCCCGTGCCCCTCACCCCTCACCCTGCCGGCCTGCACCCCTCTCAGCTGGGGGGTTCAGCTGGTCTCCTGGCTCTATCTGGAGCACTTGGTGGTGTTCCTCCACACATGTTGGGAAAAGAAATGGGTGATAAAAAGCCCCACATGTCCGGAGCAGACATGCACCCTTCAGGACCCGAGCACCTGAGAGGTGAACGAACAACCCCCCCCAACAGAAACACCACATGAAATACAAAAGTGGTGGCTGGCCTGGAAATTTGTGAATAACAAAATGGTTTAATACGAATCGCTTTTAAGCCAACATCCATTTCATTAAAACTGCAATTTAAAAATGATGTTTCTCAACGATTTTTTGTTTTTACTTAGTATTTCATATTATTCTAAATGGTGACCAAAATAGTTTGGACTGCTTCTAACTCATTATGTCTGTGTGACCTTTTGGATCTTCTTGTTTAAAGATATTATTAAATGTACACTTTCCATTTATAACTCATTATGCTTCCTTTCTTTCTTTTGTTTTCTGCTCTGCTGAACACCCAACTCTATGACCTCTACCCCATGTACACATTTCCAATTGCAATAGACCGAGAACCCGGCACAGTAAGTACTCCCTCTTTCTGTAGCAATGTTTACTGTTCTGACAAAGCACTCGGTGTATCTTCCTGTGTCTCTGATTGAGATACTTCAGTTTTGGGGAGTTTGACTTTGTTCTTTGATGCATTTTGCATTCAGTTTGACTTAAGCTCAACAGTGAGATTAGTTTGTCTTAGCTCAGTTGATAGACGTCTATGGGATCAGAAAGCTTTACTCAAACCAGAGAGAATAAACATATACACCGTCTGCTCTAAGTTAACAACATTTAGTTTAAATGTTGCAGTGCAAAGTTATAATTAAACAATTTTGATTTGTAGTTATGAAATGATCACCCCTGGCTCTGTAGATTACAAAGTAAAGACCTAAAAAAAAATCTTATTTACAGAGTTTAATCCCTGCTCTATAGTATGTAAAGAGCAAATGTATCCACATAAAAAGTAAGACTTGCACTTCAAACTAATATATCAGGCGAACTGCACCTGTTGCTGAGGCATGCCTATTTCTCCATTCATTTTAATGGTATTACTTTCATTGCCCCTGCAGTGACTCCATTTTCTCCTTATGCATAAAAGCCCTTTGCTGTTCTTTTGTTTGCTTTTTACCTCGGTTTCTCTCCCAAATAGCTTTCATCCTTAAGTTGTATATTATTGTGTGTGTGAGAGAGTGTGTGTTTAGGGATCTCTAGGGCAGAGCTTTGGCCTGCCTGTTTAGTTCTGCCCTAGATCTGCTCTGAACTGTTAGGTTTCTTTTCTCCTCCAAATGAGCTTTTTAGCATGGTCACGCACACACACCCACGCAGGCGCACACAAAAACACACACACACACACACACACACTCCTCCAGCCTAGCCTGCATTGTTGTGCCTATTTAACACCTCAGTGAGCAGATTACCCCCTTCTCCCCCTTCCACCGCCCCTGATCCCGCGCTTAAAGACTCTCATTGTGTTTAATATCACCACCACTGAGAGGGGAGGGCTTGGGCAAGGGAGAGGGGAGGGGGGGGGGGGGGGGGGGGGCAGCAGTCATATGACACTGAGCTTGTGTGTGTGGGAGAGACTACGCTAAAAGCGATCAGGGGAGAGACGGAGGGGGGAAATTGCTTATGTTTTGCGGGTCAGTGCGCCTGTGCTCAGCTCACTAAAACCTTTCAATGAAGGGGGGGAGGGAGGGAGGAAGAGGGAAGGGCGTGAAGGAAGGGGGCCTTTGGCAGAATACAGATTTTCAACCCCCCCCCACCCCTCTCGTTCCCTCCCTCGTCTCTTGTCACCCTTTCTTCTCCTCCACACTCACCCCCTCCCTCCATCCTCTCTGTCCTCTAATCTCATCCCCTCCCTCTCCCACTTTTTCTCACCCTCCTCCCCTGCTCTTCTCTGCTATTCCTCCTTCATTTACCCTTTCCCCCCTCAGAGCCCAAGCGCTCGTCCCTAGATGTGTGCACGCGCATGTGTGTTTGTGTATGTTGGATGCACATTTCATTGACAGGCTGAGACTATAATGGACTCAACATGAAGCTTTAATCCATTAACAATAGGATCCGTTGGTCAGGAGGCCAGAGGGGGGCAGCTGTGTGTGTGTGTGTGCACGTGTGTGTTTTTGGGAGCGTGCACTTGTGTGTGTGCATGTGTGTGCACGTGTGTGTAGAGGGATGCATGAGTGTTATGCAAGTAATACACACATGCAGTTAGTTACACACTCACACACAGGCTTTTGCAGTCATGTACACATCCTACACACATCCTACACACACACACACACACACACACACACACACACACACACACACTGTGCCGTGAGAGGGAGTACTGATAGATTTTAAGAGCCACTTAATGTAATCATCAGCTTCAGAGGCGTGTGTTTGTGTGTGGCTGTGACTGGCTCTGGTCAAGTGAGAAAAGAGGTTTCTGTTAGAGTGTTAGTGCTGCTTAATTCATGCTACTGTGAACTATTAACCTGTTTGCAAGTAAGAGTCTGTTTTTCTAACCCGACTGAAAAGCTGTTGTAATTAGTGGTAGATGGATCAGATGGTTTAGAGAGTTCATGAAAAATGCCCAACACAGCACAACCTGAACTATAAATGGCAAAATTGTCTCACCTCTGCAAACATTTTCTCTTTTTTTCCCCTCCAAACTATTTTTCTCTTTATCTATTTTCTTTCTACACTACCCATCTTATTTCCTCTGCTCTCCTTCTACTCTCCTCTCTGCTTTCATCTGCAGAGTAACTCATCGCTGCCAGAAAGTCTCAGGAACTCAGATAAGCGACGAAACGGACCCGATTTTCAAAATGACTCCAAGAAACGCAAGGTGGAGGACAAGGACTCGAGCCACTATGTAAGATTTCTTTTTTCTGACTGTATGTTTGTTTGTGCAAAGGGATCTAAGGAAAACAATATTTATCTGTGTTCATTTGCAATCATTTTTTAGTTATTGCACACATCATATTCACACATCAAATGTTAATATATGTTTCAGTTGGTATTTTCAACTTGAATATTCAATTGCTAACTCTTGTAACCTCCTAATTTTAAGTGTGCTAACCAGTGGCGTTTTTATATGTACAAAAGTGGTGGGGCACAAAAAACGTAGATGTCTATAGGCTATACAAGCTTCTGCAGTGACGTGCAGTGACGTGCAGTGAGGTTCATGGCTGGTGAGGCACTGACTCTTCAGGTTTACAAATATTATATTTTGACCTAAACCAAAATATAATATTATTTTCAAAAGCTTTTTTAGTCTGATGCTTCGATTAATTTTAAACGGACAGTTCAACAAAAGGATACCCAAAAAATGTAATTTTATCATTTAAATATTGAATTGTTCTTTCTTAGTAAGATCCCATTTTCAATAAAATGGCGGTCTTACCTTGACTTGAAGATGAAGTCCATTTGCCTATCCTTCTGGACAAAAATCTCTTACTTTTTTGTAAAAGTCCTCCTTATCTTCTTGTAGTTTCAAAAGTCTATCATAAATCTAATAGATAGATTTATGATTCAAAAATTATAAAAGTAGGGTAGACAAGTGGATGTTATCCGGCTGAACAAAACGTGCATTTATCTAACAGGTACGTTTCCCACAGATCTTATTTCCAGCTATTTTCTAAAATCCTATGGAGAAATCTCATTGCTTTTTTGTCGAGGGAAGCCATGCGCAGCTTACTTCCTGGTTTTAGGACACGTCACTGCAGCTCTCTCGTCTCCTCTTCACACACCACACTTTTCGCGGCACACGTACTTACAGCCAATCAGCTCTGAATTATGTGAGATGACGTATGGTGGGGATGGCAGCTCAGTGCCCCTATGGTCATTATTTTTTTGCCACACACATTAAATAGGAAAATACTCTGAGCATGCGCAGTGTAGTTTTTACAGTCACCATTCACTTAGACAGTGAGAGGGAGGGGCATGATCAGGTTTTGTCCCACATGGCTCAAAACAGCTCAATAGGCACACACTGTAGACACCAATTAGAAGAATACAGACTAAAACAGCAATGTACAGACAAATCATATGATTAAACATGATCTTAAAATATATTTTATTTTATTTTTTATTTGCATTTTTTGTAATCATTATTTGTAATACTTTCTGCTGACACTAGCAGTAAATGACCAGTCGCCACTGGTGCTAACTGATTGTTGTGGTTTGCAGGACAGCGACGGGGAGAAAAGCGATGATAATTTAGTGGTGGATGTATCGAATGAGGTCAGTATGTTTTAATATTTTTCATTGTGGTTGTTTCCTGTAGGATGAATGTATAGGTATTACAGTTGTCTGTGGGGAATGGTTTCTTTTAAATGAACCACAATATATTCACAGTTGTTCATGGGATTGTTGCTATCATCATTTAGTGCAGTGCTTATGTTTTCAGGTAGTTAACTGAATCTTTGTCCCTCCACCAGGATCCAGCCTCCCCTCGCGGCACACCTATCCCCTCCCCAAGAGAAAATGGCCATGATAAAGCCCGTCTTCTCAAGAAAGACCCCAGTAGTCCAGCCTCTACTGCGTCCTCAGCCAGCTCCTCCTCCCTCAAGTCCAAAGAGATGGCAATGGTAGGGATGGACAAGACACACTTTCAGCTGTCTCAGCAGATAGTTGAAAAGAAGAAAGATGAATTGATTGATAGGAGGAAACATGTGTCAGTAGTTACATTTCTTGTTTGTTTCTAAATGTCTCTCTCTTTGTGGCAGCGAGACAAGGCAGGCACACCTGGGTTAAAGTCAAGCACGCCCACACCAAGAGGTGACTCCACCCCTGGTCCCAGCTCCACCGCTGGAATCCGGCCCAGTCTATCAAAACCCCCGTCCATGGAGATGCCACATCCAGCCAGTAAGTCCAGTAGAAAAGTTTGTAAATTAATGATATGATGAGGTTGTGTTATTTCATGTGCTTATCTTCGCCAGAAGGCAATAAGTATTGTTTTCTGAATTGCCTCCAGGAAAATTCAGCATCACAGTTAAAAGTCAAAAGGTCTTGGTTAAATGATGTAGTTCTTTTAGCCTGCTTCTAAAATTATGTTGTTTATAAATCTAATCATCTGATCCTGCAAATAGTCTAAATTATGGTCAGAAATACCTAATGCTGGAGTTCACTTTGCGCCATAGCCAATGAAAGAATTGGAATCTAGAGTAAGTAGATACATCTGTAGGGACAAGAATCAGGGTTCGTACAGGTGCTGGAAATCCTTGCTTGAAAAGTGCTTTAATTTGACTTTTGAAACGGTGTAAGAACCCTGAAGAATTGTCACAGACATACTACATTAAGGGCATCCACTTGTGATGGGATCATTGGGGTTGTTACCTGTATTTAATGTGTCTGTCCCTCCCCTCCCCTCCTCAGCTGCAGGTTTGAGGACCCCTCTTGCTGTACCCGGCCCATACCCGGGTGCGTTTGGTATGTTGCCTCACGCAGCGGCGATGAACGGGGAGCTGGCAGGAGCAGCCGGAGCCGCGGCCTACGCTGCTGGACTGCACAACATGTCCCCTCAGATGAGTGCAGCAGCTGCAGCCGCTGTGGCAGCGTACGGCCGCTCACCCATGGTGAGTGAAAATGATTTGTGGTTTAGTTAAATAATAAATGATAATAAAAAAATGATAATAGTTCTTCTGTTGGCTGCATGGAATATTGTGAGATTGTCTTTGTTCTGTTGGCGTACAGGAACATATTTAAACACAAAAATAAAAGTACAACTTTTTTTAGAGATGAAGTACAAGTCTGAAAAACTAAATCATTATTTAAAAGGTATTGAGTTTGAAGTCAGTTTTCACTGGAGCATGCTTTGGCAGGAACTCAAGATATCAGGTTTTTGTAAAACTTCTGACCTCTGTGAAGTTGCATTGTAAAGGTGAGACAGATCAGAGTTGATTTTCAAGTCATGCATTCTGCTTTGGCCTCCTTCTTGGCTTATAAGTGTGTTCAACAGTCGCTTCCTATTTGCTGTTCACCCTCAGGCACCCGGGCAACAGTTGTTGTATGCACAGTGCTCCCATCTCAGCCATGAAACCCTGTAACCTGCTCAAGGCAGATTTACAGCGGTAGTATGGTTTATCTTTCCATTTTTTTTACGATTGACCTTATTCTACTGAGAGGAAAAGTTCAGTGTGTTGGAGATTTTCATGTGTCCTTGCCATCCTTTCTGCTTTATGAACTTTTATTTCAGTTTAGTTCATATTTTGTCTACATATTGAGTTTCTTCCAGGAAAGTGACTGATGCATACATTTCACCTTCCTTTCTTTCCTTCATCTACCTTTTTAGAACTCAAATAACTGGTGATAACAGGGGATTATTCTGTGTTGAAAATCAGAATTACATTTACTTCATATTAATGTTTTAGCAGATTAAAAGATCAGGAAGTTTAGGGTTCAAGGTTCTTTATTGTCAAACTAACATAGCTACAGAGTAATTATGTCGTTGAAAATCTTCGGTCACAGGCTTCTCCAACAATGCAACACAATAATACAGATAAGCAGACAGTATTAAAAACAATATTAAGTATATTATATTAAAGGTGGGGCTATGTTTGATTACTGGAAAGTGTCAATAGTTACACAGCTGTATTTCTCTCATCTGTGCGATTATGTGAGTATTTATACAGTGCTGGTGTGCATTTCGTTCAATCACCTCATTTCTCTTGACTGTATTTGCATAGTGTTCATTACACTATTTAAATAGGTTTAATGTGTGTGTGTGTGTGTGTGGTGTGTGTGTGTGTGTGTGTGTGTGTGTGTGTGTGTGTGTGTGTGTGTGTGTGTGTGTGTGTGTGTGTGTGTGTGTGTGTGTGTGTGTGGTGTGTGTGTGTGTGGGTGTGTGTGTGTGTGTGTGGTGGTGTGTGTGTGTGTGTGTGTGTGTGTGTGTGTGTGTGTGTGTGTGTGTGTGTGTGTGTGTGTGTGTGTGTGTGTGTGTGTGTGTGTGTGTGTGTGGTGTGTGTGTGTGTGATGTGTGTGTGTGTGTGTGTTGTGTGTGTGTGTGTGTGTGTGTGTGTGTGTGTGTGTGTGTGTGTGTGTGTGTGTGTGTGTGTGTGTGTGTGTGTGTGTGTGTGTGTGTGTAGTGTGTGTGTGTGTGTGTGTGTGTGTGTGTGTGTGTGTGTGTGTGTGTGTGTGTGTGTGTGTGTGTGTGTGTGTGTGTGTGTGTGTGTGTGTGTGTGTGTGTGTGTGTGTGTGTGTGTGTGTGTGTGTGTGTGTGTGTGTGTGTGTGTGCTTTGTGCTCACAGGTGTTTGTGTTCTGTTCACGGGTTAATATTGACCTGTGAGCATTTTGCAATTGCCAATGGGTGTGTGTTTGCACTGTGATCATAAAATGTCTGTGTTCTCTTCTCAAGGTTGGTTTTGATCCTCATTCTCACATGCGAATGCCTCCCAGTCTGACAGGAATCCCTGGCGGCAAACCGTAAGTGTGAATGTGGTAGGGCTGCACCATACATCCATCCAGTAGTCGCATGGTCGCATCGCAGGACCTGCTGTGTGGACTTAATGTCTTCTGTGTGTCATTGCTCTACGATGATGTCCACAACTCGACCAATCAGTCTTTAAACACTGAGCCCAACTCGTTAACCTTGCTTTGTGGGTGTGGCTTATGTCAACACCCTTCATATCTGTTCGACTAATGTGTAAAACATTTTCAAGTTTAATGGAGCACAAAAGCTAGCTTCTTAATGTCACTTTAAAGTGTATCAGATAGATTTTACTTTTAAATTAAGCCACATTTTTTTACTGTTAATATTCCTGTATTTTTTCAAGTTGCAATATATATCAAGGAAAAATGTCAGTATTTTCCAATATTGTGAAGCACTAGTTTGCAGTTGCTTGTTAGTTTGATGACTTATTGCCTGAAGCCACATGGATTAACCTTTATGTAAACCTCCTCTCAGGCACAGCTTTCTTGTCTCTTTTTATTTTACACTGTATTCTGTTATTATCCGTCTCTTTCATCTTTCCATCATGTATAACCGTCTCTCCTCCTTCTTTGTGTTTTTAGGGCTTATTCTTTTCACGTGGCAGCGGATGGCCAGATGCAGCCGGTACCTTTCCCCCCGGATGCTTTGGTTGGCCCAGGGATTCCTCGCCACGCCCGTCAGATCAACACACTGAACCATGGAGAGGTGGTGTGCGCCGTTACCATCAGTAACCCCACCCGACACGTTTACACAGGAGGGAAGGGTTGCGTCAAGGTCTGGGACATTAGTCACCCCGGAAACAAGAGCCCAGTGTCGCAGTTGGACTGTCTGGTGAGTGTATATATAATACTGTATAAAGTAGCTTTTTGGAGCGAGAACAACTAGAATTTCTTCAGTCATGGTGCATGTCTTTTGAAAGGCAAAAAGTATGACCAAATATGTTAATTTAAACCTGGTTTTCCATAACTAACACGAGACAACCTTGACATGCAATATTGTAGACAAAAAAATAAATGTTTTATTGAATTGAATGAATTTGTATATTCATTTTCATTTTCTGTCACTCTCTCGCTGTCAAGGTAAGTTGGTCTCTGTGATTTTCATCTGGTAATGATAAGAAATAATTAGTTTGGCCTGGGACTAAGTTTATCAGCCTTTATCGACTCGAAGAGAGAAACCTTTTTGATAAAAAGTATTAACAAAAAATTGACGATTGTAATTACTTTTCTTTATGCAAAACATTAAATATATAAACCTTTTTGTCTGCCACCCCAGAACCGAGACAATTACATCCGCTCTTGTCGTCTCCTGCCTGACGGTCGCACGCTGATAGTGGGAGGTGAGGCGAGCACGCTGTCAATCTGGGATTTGGCCACGCCCACTCCCAGGATTAAAGCGGAGTTAACATCATCGGCGCCGGCATGCTACGCTCTGGCCATCAGCCCCGACTCCAAGGTCTGCTTCTCCTGCTGCAGCGACGGAAACATTGCAGTCTGGGATTTACACAACCAGACACTGGTTAGGTAAGAGAGATCTTCAGTCTGAGTTTGTTCTCCATTCACCCATCATCCACACTTTGGACCCTCCTTTATAACCACACTCTCAGCCCTGGCTGTTTGGCTGCTGATACAAATATTCTTAGAGATTCACATTTTGGTAGTCTTTGATGCTTGACAATGGCCCAGGCAATCTCTCCTCCTCAGTATTTATTTATTTATTTAACTCAGAAAGTATGTGTGTATACTGCAGGCAGTTCCAGGGCCACACAGATGGAGCCAGCTGTATTGACATCTCCAACGACGGCACCAAGCTGTGGACCGGAGGCCTCGATAACACCGTTCGCTCCTGGGATCTGAGAGAGGGACGGCAGCTGCAGCAGCATGACTTCACATCACAGGTACACACTCATATCTCTATTTAATTACTCTTTTAAACATTTAAATGAGTGTCTCCAGAAAGACTGAATTAAATGTCAGCAGCCGTTCCAATGTAACATTTCCTGTCTCCTGTGTCCAGATCTTCTCTCTCGGCTACTGTCCGACAGGAGAGTGGCTCGCTGTGGGGATGGAGAGCAGCAACGTGGAGGTCCTTCATGTCACCAAGCCTGACAAATACCAGCTCCACCTGCATGAGAGCTGTGTGCTCTCCCTGCAGTTTGCCTCCTGTGGTAAGCAACTGGCTGTCTGGATCTCAGTCGATTTAGCTCTCGTTTTATACATTCTGTATGGCTTTGTAGTCTACCTGAATGGAATACTTCATCTACAAAATGACGATTAGTAAACCAATTACTCTCCCTGTGTAAAAAAACGTTTTGTCTCTTTGGTGAACAAAGAATCAAATAAACAGAGAGAAGTCTTAATTAATTAAAGGTAATGGGCCTTGAGTTTCAATACATTAAAACTATATCAAAACAGTTTCTGGATGTCATTACTTTCTCTGTTTTTGGAATCTTTGTTTACTTTGGAGGAATGGAGGAAAAAGTTTTCTAAGAGTCCTCAGTCACACGGTCTGAGTATTTGATGTAGAAATCATAATGTTGTGGGTAAAGTATTTATTGAAAAGCATCTTTTAAAATTACAAGTTGAAATTGGTGCTAGAGGTAGGCAGGAAATTCATTATTTCTATTCTATTTCCCCTGCGATATTGTGGTAGTGCTAATGTGTTTTTCTCTACCCAGGTAAATGGTTTGTGAGCACAGGAAAGGACAACCTGCTGAATGCGTGGAGAACACCCTATGGAGCCAGCATATTCCAGGTTGGTACATTCATCACATCATTTATTAATTTATTAAGGAGATGAAAAGCCTTCCACCAGCAAAGCATTCAGTGCAATATATAACTTGAACCCATACAGTTGTGTGTTGTCCTTAAAAAGAGCATGTTCTACTTTGACCAGTGAAAGTTACAAACATGCCTGCTGTTTGTATTATGCATTAGAATATAACTTTTAGTGTGGAAACCCATCCTGTCTCATTTACTGCATCAGCACGTATCCCTGTAACAACGCTATTAAACTTGTTGTGATAGCTATTGATCTTTTCAATCATTCAGCAATATTGATTCCACTAAGAGTATAGTTTTACTTTTTAAGAGCTGTAAAACCTTTAGTACTGTATTTCAAACAGTCAAGCAGGGAATAGTCTTTTTCTTTCTTCATTTGTGACTAACCTTTTTACCCGTTCTATTTATTCTTCTCTCTCCTCAGTCTAAAGAATCCTCCTCGGTGTTGAGCTGTGACATATCTGTGGACGACAAATACATTGTCACTGGTTCAGGGGACAAGAAGGCCACTGTTTACGAGGTCATCTACTAAAACTACGAAAAAAGAGAGCAAGGACATTTGTTCTTTCCAACACATCCGATATGTTTCTATACATTTTCAAGTGGAAATCATAAACATGAGTGACCTCGATGGCACATTCTGTTTACTGTTACAACTGCTGAGGAGACGCAGAAAGGAGACAAACATTTTACACGCACATATCTGTTGTGTATGTAAACATGACTCCATATCAGCTGGGAATGAACTGGAGCAGCTGGGTGTTTAATCGAAGGAGAGGAACTATTTGGATGTTATCGTCTCTGCTGCTTTCTGCTACACGCTGCACTGGAATCAGTTACAGGGACCAAACAATCACTGAACCAAACGCATTGTTGTGACTGGGACCAGCTCTCTGGAGCACTGACCTTTAGATTTTTAAACACTTGATTCGGTGTCACGACAGCGGGCAGAGACCCTAGAATGAACACTCAAAACAGATGCTTGAATATGGAAACAAATGGCAGACGGAAAGAGGAGAATGTGGACCGGAACTGACAGAAATAGAGAGACGGAGGAGGACAGAACATGTTGGTTTGTATTTTGTTGCAAACAGACCTCTCTCACAGCCAGTTCATCTCTCCGCTTTGACTCTTTGACATTAGAACCTCAGTTTGCTGTTTGGATACGCCTACACTGTCTGAAAAGAACTGTTTCTGTCAGTGAGACCTCACTCACTAAACTGCACTGTGGAGGAAGCTGTCCACCTACACGCTGGGCACACACACACACCATCACTGTTTAAACACACTGAACCCGCTGACCTGTCTAACATCAGTCTTTTACAATCAATTGTTTTTTGTGAAGGGTTATTTTGAACCTCATGAGGCAAAGTATGTTTTCATCATTCTTACCCATTTTAGACGCCACCATACACAAAATAAATGGCTTACAAACTAAATAAGCTTTCAAGCATGTTGCTACAGAGGGCAATTGGTGCAAAACTGGAAGGAAAAACAGTTACGTCGATTTAATAAATCCTCAAATTGCATTGATCGACTTTGTTATGCTTTACAGGAGAACCACAGCGCGTTTCATCAGATGCACATGACGGCCCCAGCTTTACTCCAACTATTACTGAATTGACCAGGAAACATTTCAGACCCTCAGAATTGATAATTGGTCTCCTGTTTGATTTACAAATCAAATTGATATTGTTTATTGTCCCCCTGCTGCAGTTGAATTGCCTGTGTTCCCTTTCACCATAGGTTCATTGGTTTAGTCTATAATGATTAAAAGGAAAAGATAATGTAAAATGCCCCATTAATTTAAAACATTATCACTCTTTCAAACACATGATGTCTTACTGTATGGATGGTTGACCACGCTTCATAAACAGGGACCAACTACTTCTAAGAAGATCCTCTTGACAAGTGAATTAACCTTGTGTTCAAACAAGTGAAAAGTCCTGGCTACCATCCTCACATTGCCTTTTTTTCTTTTAATACGGTTTCTGTTAATTTTCTTGAATGTGGTACACTTGTGAAATTGCCTTGAAAAGTTCAACTGTCATGTTTTGTCTTTACAAAATTGAGGATAACAAGCAACAATCAATTATTTGTCCAGATGGATCTACAGAGAGAGAGTCAGTTATATTTCAGCTTCAGGAAGGAGTTGCAGACATTTGAAACTCATTAATGTCATGACCTTGTGCTTGGGTTGTTTTTCAGTTTCTTCTCTGTTGAATGTTTGTAAAAATGTATATATGTTTTTTTTCTTACAGGACATGCTTTAGAAATAACAAACTGTTTTTGTACGTCTTTTACATGGAAAAGAAACATCTAATCAGGAGAAATACTAAATGGTCTTAATGCTAGCTAATCTAAAATGATTGAAATATCTAGACAATAAATGTGTTTTTTTGTAACTGGAGTGGTCTTTGACTTTCTGGGTTGGACACGTTGGGACCATAGGCGGATTTTGCGGGGGGGCAGGGGGGGCATTGAAATATGTTACAGCATTACTACGTCAAAAACTGTTCCAATAAAAATATTTCGTATATCAATATTTTAATAAGGTAGGACACTCGTTAATAATATTGTAGCATGTTCAAGTAACCAAGGGATATAGTAGTTATCAAATAAGTATAAGATGTGCACAGTTATGTAATGCACTGTTGTTGGGGGGAGAGACCGCCCCTGAGTGTGTGTGTACGGCGGGCATGGAAAAGTCATACTCAGTGCGGTGAGCGCTGGCTTTATTGCTACTGTATCCGTAGCACCCCACGCAATAGTTGGGACTGTGTACTGACGTCAGTAAAAAAGGTTTGCCCCCCCCAAGCGCAAATGTCAAACTCCGCCTATGGTTGGGACACAATGATACAAATCTTTTAGATCCATTACAGATAACCGGTGGAGGCTTTCAGATTCCACATTGGAAAAAGAAATAGATTTAGATTCAAGACATTAAAAAAACATGGTTAAAGTGAACTAGTGCCTTATCCTTCCTCATGGTTCCTTTGCAAAAAGTACGACTGAACTTATAAATGCTCAGTTGCCAACAGAGGATAAAAGCTGCCCTCAACTGGCTTTGAAAAAAATGCATTACTTGTTACAGCATAAAGGAGTAAATAGACTTCTGCATCAGATTTTTTTTCTCCAACTGCTAATCCCTATCGTAATGTTACTTTCCATATTAAGGTGTTATCAATCCGAATGTACACACACACACACACACACACACACAACCTCAGCTGGAGATATATGCGACATGACAATCAGGTTTCTTCAGAAGGAAGCAAACACTTTCTCTGTTTTGTTTTTTTTATCCCTCAGGCTCGAAAAGGAAACACTCTTTTGCATTTACAAGAACGTTTTCTTTAACCGGACTACTGCAGTAACACTGTGGCTTTGTTTATCCTGTGGAAACACATGACCTGCCTTCATTGTTTTCCTGCTCTCGGGTTCAGTTCCAGCCTCTTGTGGTCCTGAAAAGCTTTAAGTGATTAAAGGCAAAGAATGATATGCTGGGTACACTCAACCATCATGGGCTGTTTCAGTGTGCAGGAAAGACGAGCTACCGGTGAGATTTGTGTGTTTTCTTCTGTATATGTGGTATTGATATGGAGGTATAGATAGTAGCAGAACAGAGCAGCTGTTCAAATCCACTCTGTGTTAAATAACCAAGTCCAATCCCCTGCTTAATACTAACACCCACAACAAACAGACTCTCTCTCCCCTGATGTAAACTGTAAATCTGATTAATTACTATGAATACATAATTCTCTGAATCCCCGGCTCTCGTACATTCACAAACACTTGCACAACCACACACACACACAGTGTTGTACAGTATGAGGTGATTATGTGGCAATTACAGCAGTCACAGTGAAAACATAAGAGCTGATCCTTGGAGAAAAAGAAATGAAGGAAATGTCACTCCAAGTTTTCAGTCCGTCCAGAGATTTCTGAGCTCTGAATCACAGTGTTCTCTTTTGATCATCAACGCTGCTGCCGCTCTCCGATACACAGGCGGATTATTCCCCCTAAATCTCCCAAATCCCTAATCCTATTTATCTCAACGCCACACACAAAAGGTGCTCTCTTCCCACTGCTCAGCTTATATGTACAGTACGGATGTGAGTATACTTGTGTTTCTACATTTAAGAGGACCAAATCAGGACACGTTAGTGACATTTCAAGCAGTGCTCACGTTAAAAAGATTCTGTTTTAGGATTTAACACCTTAGGTTTTAATGTAGAGGAATAATTTATATTCATTCTTATTCTAATAATTTTAATCGGAAATACATCTACATGAACAAAGAGTGTGTGATATGGTGTATATGCATGGTATATTGTTGGAATTATTAAAGACCGACATAAATACGATACTATAAAACCAACTTTACTTAAGTGGATGTGGATAATTGCGTGTTGAATAATATAAAAGGTTCATTTCCACAACTCACAACAAATTTGAAAATTCACGTTTTAATAGTAGAGTTGTTTTTCCTCAAATTTGTATTATTTAAAATCCAAACAAATACATATTTCTTCCAACAACAGAGATTGTTTTAATGAAACAATCTGGAAAGACAAATTATACCTCACAAAGTTATTACTTATATGTTTGCAAACATTTGTCTATCTCCTGCAGTCACAGCGCAAATATAGTATTTATTTAGAGTCTTTGTTTCTTCCCACATTTTCAACATATCCACAAACTCCTAAGTTAATCATCTGGCTGCTTAATGCTCTTCTATGTTCACCAGCTGTTCTCTCTCTTTGTATCGTTTGGTTTCGAGCAGGTTGGTTTGCTAATAAGAGCAGTGAAAGCAAACCAAGAGCACCGATTATTGCTGAAAAATCGAAACACCCAAAACATAATAACACTGGATTCATCCTCACTTTGAACGACAACTTTGAGATAGTCATTTGATATCGTGACCATACAAGTGTTTACCAGTGTGTCTTTCACTTGATAAATGACAGGCTATACTATTTATAAAATTTCCCATAAGCATTCTCGCCTGTGTTTCTACTGATGATCTCTAATCTTATTAATTGATTGATTTTGTTCTAGTTTTATTTCAGCTGCATTCAACAACCTTGAGGATGGTGTTTTTCATCCAGCATAATGAAAGTAAGGCTTAATGTCCCTGTAATGCTGTTTAAATGTTCTTCCCTGAGTTTGTACATACAGCCTGCAGTAGAACAGGAGAAGGAGGTAAGCTACAATGCACCCAGATTAAATTGAATTCACACAAATACGAGCAGGCGGATAATGAGAGTGCAGCTGCTGCCTTTGTGAATAAAAGCTGCCTTTAAAACCATCACATCCTGTTATGCTGTCTTCAAGCCTCCTCCTCCTCTTTATGTTTCCCTCCTCCCTCTCTCCTACCTTCTGCCAAAGTCTTCCAAAATGATTTCCCTTTTCTTATTTTTTTGCCCGTTTTGTCCCTCCAGGCCCAACACCACCTCCTTCCCTCTTCTTTCTCTTTGTTTTCCACAAGTACCTGGTTATCTTTTATTTGGTAAATGGATTTTCTCTCCTCTCCTCTATCTCCCCTAAGCCTATTTGCCGTTTCCTCTTTTCTGCATATCATATTTTTTGCCCCAACCTCCCCAGGTAACCCAATGTATTTTGCACCTGTGTGTGTGTGTGTGTGTGTGTGTGTGTGTGTGTGTGTGTGTGTGTGTGTGTGTGTGTGTGTGTGTGTGTGTGTGTGTGTGTGTGTGTGTGTGTGTGTGTGTGTGTGTGTGTGTGTGGTGTGTGTGTGTGTGTGCTAATGAGCTTAGAGCTGTCTCCCTCCCAAGGTGAGGTGCCATGCTGAGGTGATCAGCGCTGCTGGAGCTGCAGGTATCAACCTCAAACACCTGCCTGTTTGAGCACGGCTACAAACACACACACACACACACACACACACACACACACACACACACACACACACACACACACACACACACACACACACACACACACACACACACACACACACACACACAGAAGAAGAAAATAATTTCCTCTCTTTTTCTCTCACACTCGTTCAACAATAAATGCACAATAAATCTTTACTTTTCTCTCTCACATACAAACAGTATATGAACACACACATTAAATACAGTATTTTTACACATACACACACACACAGCTGGCTGCTGCACAAGGGCGATAGCAAAACTCTAACTCTGTCCTGTCAACATGCAGGATAATCAGCTGCTGGGGATTGTGGGTAAGCTGTAATAATCCCTCGCATGGAATATGGAAAGCATCAGAGAGTTATTCAATAGGACAGAGATAAAGGTGTGTGTGTGTGTGTGCGTGTGTGTGTGAGGCTTTTCCATCTTTAATATCCATCTCCACCTGAAGCTGACACACACACACACACACACACACACACACACACACACACACGCACACACGCACACACGCACACACGCACACACACACACACACACACACACTCACTCACTAAACATCAGCCCAGCCCCCTTCCCGAGAACCTGCAGCTGCTGGAATACTCCCTGTCAGATTCACTAAGTCTTAATTAAGAACAACATCCAGAACAAGCTTCATTTAGTCAGAGGAACACCGGGGAATACTGCCTCATATTTACCTGTCAGGAGGCAAAGGCTTTCCAGAACAAAGCCTCCACCTCACATCTTTATTGTGCAGTGTCACAATCACATTAGGATGTAGTTATGGGAATCCTCTTGATGTAGATCCATTTTGTAACCATTATGCAAAAATCAGGACAGTTTGCAGAGGAGGTCCCAAGGTTCAGAGAAGAATTGAATGTTACATGTAATGTCACTGTGTTTGTATATGGTTAGTGACTCTAGGGAGAGCGCTGTCTCTCTGTAGAAAAACCCCTTCTGAAAATAAATCCTAGTTTTCTATAGGGTTTTATAAACACTGCTCCTCTTGAAACCGTACTGGATTATTTGTCGGTATTGTAATTACTGTGTGCAGATCTGCACTGAATATTAAGGAGATGATCATTCATTAGTATTCTTTACAACTAAGACTAATAACTAAGAATCATTATGAACTTTTTTCCTTGTAATTTGAAATATATAAAATATATGGACATGCATTTTATTTGTGTTTCTCATGATCAGATTAAGAATATATATATTTCCATTCAAACTTCAATAAGGTGAGTGACTGGGAGGTGGGGTTTACGTAGACATAGGTAACTTAATCATTTATTAAACAGGATATCAGCTTATATTCACAGTTTATATCGTTTGTATGTGACCGCTCTAAATCATAGTTTAGTAATGTCAACTTGAATTATGTTCTGTCATTAATGGTAGTGCAAGTCAGTGAACAACTCGACAGTTAATTGTGGAAAAAATATGGAAAAGGTATTTTGTTGTGTGCACCTTTCCTTAGTGACCTTCAATTGTATACTCGCTTCTTA